TTTTGAAGCAGAATTCATTTGCCTCTCAGAAACTTTTTTTTTTTTTTGTGATTGGCTGTGATCCACGCATTACTACAGGTAATTTTAATGAGATAGTCTGACACAAATATACCATCGGTCACAAGGATGGTGCAAGACCAGGCAACGTTTGGTTCTGTTGTACATAAACTCGCCATAATTTGGAGATTCCTTGATGGCAGCAAACAACAATGATCTCCTTTATAACTGTCAGTTGACATTGGCTACCTAAAATGAGGGGGCAATAAAGGCATGAAGTGACTAGCTTACAAGGTTTCAAGAGGGAGTTTAGTTTAAGAGACTATGAGGAAAGATAGAGTTTTCACTGAATAGTTTTCATCTAGATGGGTCTGGTAAAAAGAGACGGGTATAAGAGTCTTATGATTCAATAGTGAGTAATTGTTATCATGACTAATAGCAATGGTCACAATTGTAAAGGTAGAAGTTTTGTAACAAAAATGAGGGTGTAATTAATCTTGCAGTCCAGAAACAGGACCCTAGGACCATCAAGGAGAAGAGCACAACAGGAATGCAGGACCTTATCCAGAGAAATAGCGACACCAGAGATGGAGGCAGAGATGGGGACATGGAGAGAAGGATCAGCTGAGGACTCGAGATTCATGGGAAGAGAGGGGCTGAGAGCTGGTGGCCAGGAGGCAGACTTGCAGAATGTGCCCTTTGGTGGTGTGAATTATTATATATACCTGAGCATTAAAAAAAAAAAAAAAAGCTAAAATGAATAGAGACAAATACTGTTAACTGATGGTACATGGAGGGGATTATAATTACTGTATTGAAACAAGGTGTATGATGTGTTGAATGTAAAACTGATGATCTGCCCTGCAAACTTTCACTCAATTCACACTAAAAACATTAAAAAAAAAAAAAAAAAGTCACTTGAGGCCTAGGAGCTATTGAGATAAGTAGAAGGCCACGTCTGGAAGTTGAGGCAAAGCCACAATGTTGTGCATCAAGGGCCTAGTGCCAAAGCTGAACCCAGAGGAAATGAAACGGAAGATGCGTGAGGATGTGATCTCCTCCATATGGAACATCCTTATCTATGTGGCTCTGCTACAAGCCACTCTGTTTATCTTAAAGAAACTGGATAGCATATGAAGAGTTGGCGTCACATGTGAATGTACAATATGAAGAACGTGGCTCCCGTTTCTCCTCCAATCTGCAAATGAGAAGTCCCAGAAAGATATGAAACTGATTGAATTGACCTAAAAATTCTACTTGTTGAAGAGTAAGTTTGCTCTGGTTACTGTCTATCATAGCTAAAAATATAAAACTACTTGGGAAGCATGAAAATTTCTTGAGGTCATATTGCACCCTTTGTTGTTAAGTGCCGTCAAGTCGGTTCACATTGCACCCTTAGGCCTCCGTTAATGTTGGTATAATTGTAAATCGTATTAAACATCATTGTCTGACAAGTAATAATTAAAAGTGAATTGTGTCTGAAAAAAAAGAAGTCAGTTGATAGCAAATGTTAACCACATACATAAAGTATCTTCACAGAAACATCTAAACTAGTTTTTAACCCAATAACTGGATGCCATAGCCTAGCCAAGTTGGCACATAAGATTAATCATCACCTAGATGTAATATTGTTGTGCAATTAGTGAATAATATTGCTTGGACAAATATATTGAATGAGTTCCTAGGTGGTACAAAAGGCTAACACACTCGGCTGCTAACCTAAAGTTTGGAGGTTCAAGTTCACCCAGAGATTCTACAAAAGAAAGGCCTGGAAACCTACTTCTAAAACTGTCAGTCATTGACAACCCTATGGAGCACAGTTTTCCTCTTACACACATGAAGTCACCATTAGTCAGTCAATTCAATGCTAAGTAAGTAAGCATACTGAATACAAGTGAAATAACTTGATGTTTGGATTTCTTTCCAATACTCCAACAAAAGAAAAAGAGCAGGGGAAGTAGATGCAATATATTTGATAAATTGGTTGAAATTGTTTAAATGAAGCAATTGGTATATGTCCATATGTGATTCTCTTTAGTTCTGTTGCTGTTGTTTAGTGCCAGAGTCAGTTCTAACTCATAGCAACCTTGTATAGGGTTTCTGAGGAGCAGCTGGTGGGTTTGAACCACTTACTTTGTGGTTAGCAGTTCAATGCTGATCCTACAGCACCATATCTGGACTCCATTCTCTTTAGTTATATGTGTTTAAATTTTTCAAAAATTTAAGTGGTAAAATAGATTATTATACTAAGGAGAGCTCAAATGTATACTGAGATTCAATTTCCAGTGACTGTAAATATGATGTGCTCTAGAAAACTTTTGGGTGACTCACTACATGGCTCTAGGGAAGACGGACTCAGCGGGCAATGCACATTCTTGCCATGAAGTGGGAGAGGAAAAATCTCTATTTCTAAGTTAACTAATAGTACATATTTTAAACATGAATATGGGAAACATCAATTTAATCAAGTAGAGGAAAGTGAAGTATTTCCCCCTACTTAGGAATCACCAAAACACAACAAGAAGAGCAAGAAACGAAGTAAATCTTCAATCACCAAAACGAAAAGACCTTAAAAATCTCTAAACCAAAAAACTAGCGGAATGTCTCAGAGAAATAGAGAACTATAATCAAAGATGTTAGGGAAACTGAGAAATATGGCAGATCTAAGAAAAATCTAGTGAAGAACACTCATAAAACCAAACAACATTGTAAGCACAAAACGAAGCTTAACTCTGAGGTTTTACTACATGCCAGGCATCATTGACTCATTTGACTCATCCAAAATCTATGTCAAAGGCACTTCCTCAGGTCTAAAAGCAGGAATCCCTTGTTTGCAACAACGGGAACTGGGTGTGTAGACTGGAGGCAAGACCCCATTTGTCATGAAGTCTCATGAAACTAAGAAGGCAGGGTGAATAATGATTCAGAGTTACGCCTTATTTGTATCACAATTTGTTGGTCAGAGAAAGAAAGCAGAGAGACTGAGTTGTAAGCTACCCTGCAACCGTCTTTGTTGGCTGGTGAGGATTAAAGATTAAAAGAATTATCCACACAGTCCTGGAATATCGCCCCAATTTCTTCCCCTCAGGAACTCAGGTGGTGCAGTGGACAATAAGTGCTTGGCTGCTAGGCAACCAAAACGTTAGCAGTTTAAACCCACTAACCACTCTGTAGGAGAAAGACATGGCAGTAGGTTTCCATAAAGACTTACAGCCTTGTAAACCCTATGGGGCAATTCTACTCTGTCCTATAGGGTTGCTACGAGTTGGAATTCAGCTTAATAGCACTAGGTTTTCTCCTTCCCAGAATAGCTTCTACAAATGGTTGGTCCAGAAGGAGTTTACCCCATTCAAAGATGAGTATTAACCAAAAAGGAATAATCTCAGGACCACAAAAGATACTTGTTGCTATGGTTAGGTGCCATTGAGTCAATTTCTACTCATAGTGACCCTATTCACAACAAAACAAAACACTAATCAGTAAGACACCATCCTCACAATTGCCCATTTTTACAGCAACTGTGTCAATCCACCTCATTGAGGGTTAATAGATTGTATTAATCAAGGTTCTCCAAAAGAACCCTCTTTTTTACTGACACTCTACCAAGTCAGTAGAGTGTCAGTAAAACTGGCAGTAGAGTGTCAGGGACTGGTCTCTCCTGATAATATGTCTAATGTACGTGAAACTAAGTCTCACCATCTATGCTTCTAAGGGTCATTCTGTCTGTACTTTTTCCAAGACAAATTTGTTTATTCTTCTGACAGTCCGTGGTACTTTAAACATTCTTCATCAACACCATTATTCAAATGCATCACTTTTCCTCTGATCTTGCTTATTCATTGTCCAGAAAAAAATATATTTAAAAAAATGCCTATAAAGAATACTTACTGTGCCCACCCCCACCAAAAAACATTCACTACAAAATATGAACAAACCGTTCAAAGAAATAATTACCTCTGAAAAAAGAGAACAAAGAGCCAATCTAATAAAACAATGAAAGATAGAACATTAGATCGTAGAGTTCAGCAAAAAAAGTAAAAAATGCAAGAATAAGTTTTTTCAGAAATGAAAGCCAAACTGAAAGGAGCAAAAAGGAACCTTGCTGACTGCACGACAATGGAGCTACAGGAGAAGACTGAGAAAACTGAGTGATAGGACATGGGGATCAGAGAGTGTGACAGAGCAGCCAGAGAAAATATAAATACGTAAGATAAAGTGGCCCCAACAGAAGTATAATTGGAAACCTTAAGAAAAATATAGTATATATGAGTGATTGTATGCACACACAGAGAACCCACATTACAGATAGACACATGAAGGGGCTTCAAAGAGTTTGTGTAAAAGTTCCATTCTCTTTCAACTCAATTTTTCCATAGACTTGTTACTTGGATATGTTGATACAAATAGAGATAGCGTATGTATCTCAGGACAACTAAGTGGCCAGAGAAGAGTCTTTAAGCATGCATTTTGTTACATAAATGTGTATTACTTACTTAAGTTTTAAATGTGTGAATAAATGTGTAAATAAAAAATAGACATTCAGCTACATCTACACCTGGAAAAAATACAAATACATAAGAAAGACTTATTTAGGGTTTAGATTTAACCACCAGTTTACAGAAAAATACGAGCACAGAAGCACGTTATGGGCATATAGGAATCATTTTATATTCTATTTTTCTTGATGCTTAGATTTTTAAAAGAAAAAAAATTAGATTTAATGCCTGCATTTATTGAAAAAAACAAAACATATGCTCTGTTAGAGCATATGCAATAGATTTCATCTGATCTCCAATTTCTCTTTGGTAGGAAAGACCAGATTGGGGAGAAGAGATCACTCAGTACATTCTGATACATAAGCATAACGTTGATCGTTTGTTGGAGCCAGTGACTAACTCCTGACTGGAGTGAATTGAGAATAGACTTATTGTACTGAGATCAAGTCAAAGCTGGAAGGCAGGAGAATTTTTCCCTGACTCAAGGAAACTAAAAAAGCAATCTTAATATTTCATAACTTTTCTAATAATCTGGGTGTGATCTCACTGTTTGTAAAACTTAGCACTTCCCAACCTGCAAGCTCACCTTCCAGCACTGAGCCCATCCCAGACTCACCATATATAAAGGACTGCTGGGAGGGCCTTCTCTACTTCCTCCTGCTCTAAGCTCTATACTCCCACTTCTCACCTTCTCATCTGTTGAGAACCATGTCTAGCAAATCCACCATCAGCCGCCGTGGCTTCAGTGCCAGCTCAGCCAGAGTCCCTGGGGCTTGCCGCTCAGGCTTCAGCAGTGTCTCCGTGTCTCGCTCCAGGGGAAGCGATGGCTTCGGTGGGGCCTGTGGAGGAGCTGGCTTTGGCAGCAGGAGCCTCTATGGCATGGGGGGCTCCATGAGGATCTCCAGTGGAGGTGGCAGCTGTACCATGAGGAGTGGATATGGCAGCAGAGTCGGAGGTGGCTTTGGCTTTGGAGGAGGCTCCCGGAGTGGATTTGGTTTTGGCGGTGGAGCTGGTAGTGGCTTTGGGCTTGGTGGTGGAGCTGGCTTTGGTGGTGGCTATGGGGGCTCTGGCTTCCCCGTCTGCCCCCCTGGAGGCATCCAAGAGGTCACTGTCAACCAGAATCTCCTCACTCCTCTGAACCTGCAAATCGACCCCACCATCCAGCGGGTGAAGACTGAGGAGCGGGAGCAGATCAAGACCCTCAACAACAAGTTTGCTTCCTTCATCGACAAGGTGAGACCTGAGAACATTCTCTTCACCGGGTATTTCAGAGTCTCCTAACTAGAGAAACAATGAGCTTTCTGACAGGGGTGGATTTAGGGACAAAGGATAAGGGGACACAGATGATCATTCCACAAGAATGCCACATTGGCTCCATGTTGACAATAGGTAGAGGTGGTGCAAACAATTCTGAAATGATAAATGCCCTAAATTACCCTCATTCCTATGTAGAAAAGATTATCAACCGGTGATACCCAGGACCCATGGAAAGGGAACTATGGAGTGTAATTGGCTAACTTTTATCTTTGAAGTTTATAACAATTACAAAGAACTGGCCAGTCACAATGATTTCTGGACTCTAGTTAGGAGGAGAAATCTATGAGTTTATGTGAATACTGAAGGAATAATTTGTAAAAGCATAGCTAAAGTGGGTACACAATTTGAAGACTGTAATCAGTGTCACTGAATTCAATATGTAGAAATTATTGAATTGGTACATGTTTTTCTGTGTTTAGTTTTACACACACACATAAAATAAATGATTAAAAAAGAAAAAGAATATTCTGTCCAGATGCAAAAGCATTTATATTATCTATAGAGAAACAAAAAAACTCTAGAAACAGTGAGTAACCATCAATCTAAGATGCTTCAGACAAGACTCACGCTCTAAGTGGAAAATTAGATTCCAGTCAAATGATTATACAACAGATAACACTCCTTCAATGGCTCATATGTAATACAAAGGTTTTACACAATATATCTTGCAAATGGTTTTAAATAAGGTTCGTGTTTCTGCTTATCAAGAAGGAAGTTGTTGCTGTTGTTAGGTGCCATCGAGTTGGTACAGACTCATAGTGGAATGTCAAAAATCACTGATAATCTCCAGAATTTTCAGTGTAGGAAAAACTCAAAGGTCCACAGGGGAGTTATTCTGGGGAGATCTGTGGGATCTGAGGAGCAAGATTCTCAATCTGAACCTCTGAGCTGCTCCTCCTAGGCCAGCTAGACCATGGAGACCTCCCACGCCTGCATGGACATCTGAGAAAAAAGACACGTCCCTTTTTGCTTTGTCTACAAATGGCCACCTTGTTTCCTTCCTCTCCAGGTGCGGTTCCTGGAGCAGCAGAACAGAGTCCTGGACACCAAGTGGGCCCTGCTTCAGGAGCAGGGCACCAAGACCGTCAGGCAGAACCTAGAGCCCATGTTCGAGCAGTACATCAGCAACCTCCGGAGGCAGCTGGACACCATCCTTGGGGAGAGAGGCCGCCTGGACTCTGAGCTCAGAAGCATGCAGGACACAGTTGAGGACTTCAAGAACAAGTGAGCAAAAGAGAATTTAGTCCTCGAAGGTCTTTAAGAAATAGGTATCACCAAATATAAAAGTGGCCTTACAGGTCCTTAACAAAACATGACCAATGGGAATAAAAATCACAAATTCATGTCTATGAGCAAATCTGAAAAGCAAAAAGAACTATGAGTTTCAGAAGAGGAAGGGTAAGCAAGAAAAGAAATGGCCAAATCATGAAATCATCTTTTAGGCTCTCTGTGGCAAGAAAGCTCAAATTGTAAATACTCAATTTTATGGAAATCATTGGATCTTAAACTCCCTTTTCTATATTACTTTACCCCATGGTTCAATTGTATCATTTACTTTTCTTATTCTAGATATGAAGACGAAATCAACAAGCGCACAACAGCAGAGAATGAGTTCGTGACACTGAAGAAGGTGAGCTAAGATCTTGGATGAAAATTCTTTATAGGAGCAGAATAGGGAAGAAGTAGTCTAAAAATGAATAGACTGGGGATACGCGCTCAGTTGATTGAAAATGTGGGTCTTTCCCTAGGATGTGGATGCTGCTTACATGAATAAAGTTGAACTGCAAGCCAAGGCAGACAGCCTTACAGATGAAATCAACTTCCTGAAAGTCCTCTTTGATGCAGTAAGTATCTATCTTCTCCTTTTATTTGATTGAATGGCGTTCAGCAATGGGTGGGAGAATCTTGGGCTGGGATCGCCTGTGAATGTCTCTGGAAAAGATGGCCTTACAATCTTTTGTTCTGCAGGAACTGTCTCAGATGCAAACCCACATCTCAGACACATCTGTGGTCCTGTCCATGGACAACAACCGCAGTCTGGACCTGGACAGCATCATTGCTGAAGTCAAGGCCCAGTATGAGGATATTGCCCAGAGGAGCCGGGCTGAGGCTGAGTCCTGGTACCAGACCAAGGTGAGCAGTGAGTTAGCAGCTATCATCTTTCAGATACTCTTCTTAGGATAACAAGCAAGGTTCTGGTTTCTTTTTTGGAAATGTATGTCAGGGATGCTGGAGTCATCTGACAGTGTATATACATCCTTGTACTGTTAAAGTAGACAATCACAAAACTTATGCCCCAAACTATTAAAAGAATGTAAATGCAAGAGGAAAATTTTCCTAGATAACAAACTAATGATCTTTACTTTCGTCTTCATTCTGAATACTGCCTCTTAGAAACACTGTACCTGCCCAGAGGAGATCTAGACTAACAGTGGCCCAATAATAAGAATGATCTGTGAATTCAGTTGAGCAACATCTAACAATTTTGCAACATCAACTTTTCCTACATTCCCAGATGAGAAACCATTAAGTTCAAGTTTTTCCAATGCTTGATCAAGAACTGAAAGACATTTGGCATATTAAGCCCCACACACCCTGTCTCTCTCCCTCTGGACCACAGTATGAGGAGTTGCAGATCTCAGCTGGCAGACATGGAGATGACCTGCGCAACACCAAGCAAGAGATTTCTGAGATCAACCGCATGATCCAGAGGCTGAGATCCGAGATCGACCACGTCAAGAAGCAGGTGCGTTAGTGGGGTCTAGGAGGAAGAGACAATGGTGAAGCAAACTACATTTCCTTGTTAGTCTGCCAGGTAGTCATCAGCTACCATCTGGGCATATTGCTGGGTATTGAAGGACTATCAGGGGAGAGTAGGCTTAGGCAGCTACTGTAGCTGGTTAGGAAGGATGGGCCAAAGTTAAGTACTTGATACTACTAACACATGGATGGAACCATTCCCATGTGTTCAGATTTGTAAAAATTCAGGCTAGAGGCATCATAAAGATTTACATAAGAAAAAATGGCTGACTCGGAAATTGCAAAGAAATATGTTGGGAACGAAAAGGTAGAGAGTTTGAGGAATCATGCTGAATCTGTTCAAGTCCAAAGTGAAAACAAGAGATGCACAAAGGTGTGAGATTGAGGTGAGAGAAAGGCAAGATGTTGAGTCTGATGTGAAAGTTCACTTCAACTGAGGATGTATGTAATTTTGTCTAAGTTAGTGTGGCGTCCACATTAGATCATCAGTGATGGTCCTGGTTTGGCTTTGGACACAACACTACAAAATGAATAGTAAATGAGACCCTTACTCTAATGTTCCATGGTCTTAGGTCCACTGTATTTGTCTTTCATCAATCACCACCCATATCCTCATTCAGGGTTGTTAACATAAAAAGTGTCATGGGTTTTTGTCAAGTGACTTCCAGACTTGAAAAGTTTTCAAGAATTTTGAATTGATAGAAAAAGTCAGAGCTCCTTCTCCATCAGTTCCAGGCTTTAAGATTTTTTTTCTCATTGAGAAAGAGGAATATGAGTAGTTTCCCTGAAGAAACAGATTACAAGTTTTTACTTCCTCTTTTTCCCCCTTAGTGTGCCAACCTTCAGGCCGCCATTGCTGATGCTGAACAACGTGGGGAGATGGCCCTCAAGGATGCCAAGAACAAGCTGGCTGAGCTGGAAGATGCCCTGCAGAAGGCCAAGCAGGACATGGCTCGGCTGCTGAGGGAATACCAGGAACTGATGAACACCAAGCTGGCCCTGGACGTGGAGATCGCCACCTACAGGAAACTTCTGGAAGGCGAGGAGTGCAGGTGGGTAAATCAGACAAGTATCTCCAAGATATGTATGTAGACCGGGAGCACACCTGTGAACCACTGTAATCATGACCACCCTTACTATTCTTGGAAAACAACAAGAAGGGCCATGTCTGCCTGAACTGTTCCTCAGATTGAGGCTGTCCACACTCATTCAGCTCATGGTTCTCTGAGGTCTCATCTTCCCTTTGTTTGCTTTCCCCCCTAGGCTGACCGGGGAAGGCGTTGGCCAAGTCAGCATCTGTAAGTACCTCTGTGTGATTTCCTTCCCTGCCTTTGCTCTTTTGCCTGGATTCAGGCTGGTGGAAAGAGTCTCTCCATGGACCATTGTTTCCGTTTCTCTCCCCTCACAGCTGTGGTGCAGTCCAACGTCTCCAGTGGCTACGGAAGCGCCAGTGGTGTCGGTGTCGGCGGTGGCTTATGCCTAGGTGGAGGCAGTGGATACTCCTATGGCGGTGGCTTCAGTTCCGGCAGTGGCAGAGGCATTGGAGGTGGCTTCGGTTCCTCTGGTGGCAGCAGTTCCACCATCAAATACACTACCTCCTCATCCTCCAGCAGGAAGAGCTACAAGCACTGAGGTCCTACCACCATTGCTGGGTTCCACAATGCCTCAGGCCCCTCTCCAGCTGCAAGGCTCCCTCCTCACATGGCTGCTCCTCCCCTGACCTCTCATCTTCTCTGCTGTTTCACTTCCAGCTGATGTTGCCTTGATCAGGAGGTGCTGCCTTGAAATGAGAGATGCTCCTCCTTTCATCTCTTTGCCTATACCTGCTTCAGCCAAGCTTCCTTTGCTCCTCAGCACAATGTCAACAGGCATCGTTTGATGTCCCCATGTTATTACTAGATTTATCAGTCTGACATAATTTTGAGCAGAAAATGATCTCTTGCCTATTAAGAACAGAGACTACATCTTGCTATAGAGCAAGGGAACTTTTCTTTAATTTACAGTTGTCCTGTCAACCATAGCTCTATCCTGAAGTGTTCACATCTTATAAATGAATTGTCACGGTCTTCCTTTGCTGTGTCCCTGGACAATATGTTATGTTCCCCTCTGATATGCAGAGATTGTATTCCTGAAATGTTTTCCTGTGTTCTCATGGCTTTCTTGTTTCCTGTTGAATAAAGCAGATTTATAATATAAAAATTCTGTGTTAGATTGCATTGCTGGTCATGTAATGGTTCGAAAACTTTCTCATCTTATCAACTATTCCTCATCTTTGGAGAAGTGGTACCTTGTCTACTGACAATTCATCATGTTTCTGTGATCAGACAACTGCTTACAACTATCAACTTCTAGTACTTAGGATTCTTTCTCAAAAAACGACAACAAAAGACTGTTTAAAAGTATTAAGAAAGAAAAGGAAACCAGAGTTTAAGATGCCAGAGCAGCATAATCTTACAACTGTAGGGCTTTTCCTTTTCCACACCCTAACATTTGGTGGTTTTGTCCTCACCCCAATTTCTGAATGTCCCTCAGAGACACCCCTACACTTCCCCCCTCCCACTGGGGAGATATTGCACAGAGCTAACAAGGTTTAAATACTTGATTCATCTCTGATAATTAAGACATGTGCCAAGATGTCTCAATACAACAATCAAACCAAATGTTATAAAAAAATAGCATCCCAGATCTTGGTATATGGATTTAAAGCCACTTGCTTTTGTTGTTAAATGCCATTGAGCCCAATCCCATTACAGAAACCCAGTTTCCAAGGAACTGCTGGTGGATTTAACCCCCAACCTTGTGGGTATAGTCCAGCACTTATTCTACAGAGCTGCATCGGCCTCTACATTAAAGAGACCTGTTGACACTATGAGTTAAGGATTGGACTGCTAATGGCAAGGCCATTGTCTCAGAATGCATTGTGGAAGAAAGACAAGGCTGTTTGCTCCCCTAAAGATGTAGCATCTTAGAAACCCTAGATAGGGTTTGTATGAGTCAAAATCGACTTGATGTCAGTGATTTTGGTTTTGGTTTAAAAAGTATTACATTAGTAGGGATGGGCTTTCTTTGTACCCAAAGATATTTGGGTTGGACTGAAGAACTGCTCATGAAAAACGCTAGTAAAAGTTCATAGAATTGTACACTTAAAAATTGTGGATTTCATGCTCTATAAATATATATCAACAACCCTGAATAAAAAATGAAATCATAAAAAATCAAATAAGTATAACTTCAAGAAAATGTGGTTTAAAGACTTTGTTTTGAGGCGCTTTTGTCAGAGGTGAGATTGATGGTCCCTGGAAACAGATGGATCTTTGACTAGCATGGAGGTGGGTCTGGTCAGGTGTGGTGTCATTTTGTGATAGGAGATTAAAGGAATTATTTCAAGTGTAAACTTTCATGCACATTTTGACAGAGAGATGTTGGAGGTTCATTTAAATCTATCCTGATAGAATGACCATTTTGATTCCTAGACAGAAACACAAACTTATTCTAGAATCTGGCTAATCAGGCATTCTATATTCCAGGACTTTTCTCTATGCAAAAGAAGGAACAACAAGGACAAAAATTGCAAGACAACACTAACAAACTTGGTTATAATAATATTTTGCTAACTTAAAGTCATATCAGAGACCTTTGGCCTTGGTCATGAACCAAATTGAGGTCCAACCTTCTTCCCATGGCTGTCTATAAATTGGGAATAGGTCACTAGGAACAAGCTTTGGAGATGAGTGAGACTTTTGAGGATTATTGATCTGGTTAAAGATTTAAGGTTTAAAGATTTCCTTAAGGTAATAGTTTCAGGGGGCTATCCAGCATCAATGTCTCCAGAAACTCTGGATTCCATGAGAATTTGAGATTCTATTTCTCATTTTCAATAACTTTATACGCATGCGAAAGCTGGACAGTGAATAAGGAAGACCATAGAAGAATTGATGCATTTGAATTATGGTGTTGGATGAGAATATTGAAAATACTGTGGGCTGCCAAAAGAACCAACAGATCTGTGTTGGAAAAAGTACAGCCATAGTCTATGCTCCTTGTAGGCCAGGCTGGGCAAAGTTCGTTTCTCACTTTGGACATATTGTCAGGAGGGACCAATCACTTGAGAAGGATATCATGTTGGGTAAGGTCAGAGAAAAAGAGGAAGACCCCCAGTGAGATAGATTGGCAAAATGTGCTCAAGTGTGGCAACAATTGTGAGGTTGGCCCAGGACCGGGCAGCGTTTTCGTTCTGTTGGGCATAGGGTTGCTATGAGTCGGTACCGACTTGATGGTATCTAACAACAACAACAACAATTCCTCATTTTATTCTTTTTGATCAGAATTCTTGTATAGAATCATTGATCAAAATGTTCAGCAATGATAGCAGTACACATACTGTTTTTCTGGTCTTATGGTCAAAAGAGGTAATTTTTCATGGAGGTAATTTGACTGGCATTCCAATTCCACCTCCGATTCCTGATGCTCCTTCTTCCTCAGCTGCTCCTAGAAATTGAAATCAATTGTCCAATTAAATTAGGTTATTTAAAGGTCACATTCTAAGGAGCCCTCGTATCATAGTGGGCTAAGATTTGGGCTGCTAACCTCAAGATTAGGCTTTCTGTTCATCCCATAAAGATGAACTTCCTTGGAAACCTTACACAGGGTCACTACGAGTCAGAAACAACTGAACGACATACAACAACCACAACAAAAGTCATGTTGTATGGTTTTGACAAATGCATACTATATACTCACCATTTACAGCATCATGAGAATTCCTGATGTGGGGCTATGACTGCAAGGTCGGTTTGAACTGCAAGGTGGATGGTTCAAACTTATCAGTCGCTCCTTGGAAACCCTATACAGGGTCGCTATGAGTTGGAATCAATTCCACAGCACTTAACAACAACAACAGTATCATGCAGAATAGTTTCGCTGCCCTTAAAATGCCCAGTACTTCACCTATTTAGAGTCCCTAGGTGATGCAAATGATTAATGCTCTTGACTTCTAACTCAGAAGTTGGCAGTTCAAGTCTACCCAGTGGCATTTCAGATGAAAAGCATGGTGATATACTTCTGAAGAATCTGCCACTGAAACCCTCTGAAGCTCAATTCTATTACACATATGGGGTCACCTTGAGTCAGAATCAACTCAGTGGCAACTGGTTTAGTATTATTCTTTTTATCCCCTATTTAGAACTCTTCTATCGATAATAGTTTCTAATTATTTAAAGTTTTGGGCTGTTGTAGAGTGCCATCAATGCAGTTCCAAATCATAATGGCCCTGTATAGGGTTTCTGAGGAACTACTGATGGATTTGAACAACCAACCTTGTGGTTAACAGTCCACAGATTATCCTACAACACCACACCAGGATTCCAATTAGTTCAAGAGAGTGCATGACTTCTGTAACTTGATCTTACAACTAACCACCTTGCTAGCCTTCACTCCTGCTTTCATGATGAGGAACTCAAGTCTCAGAAATTAAGTAACACGGCCAGTCAGGGATAAAGGCAAGATTCAAGGATGGATGCACTGGGTTTCAGAGCCTTTTCCAATGGTAGGTGACAGTCGGCAGGGGGTGTGTTCTTACTGTTGGATCCCAGCTTCATCACTCCTATCACCTCTGCTTCTAGCTGTGGGGAGAGCTGTCAATGCCAACACCCAGGGACTGATCGGAGTATTCTCTTGAGTCCATCCTTCCCTTGGTTTGCTTGCCCTCTGCTGGAGGTGCCACTGCCCTGGGAGCCAAAAGTCGATGCAGGAGTCAGTCTCTCACTTAAATGGGCATCTTCTGGGTAATGACATCAGTCAGTGACACAATCACACACCAAGAGCAAACACCAGATGATATTTGCCCTTTAGCCTGAGAATTCCAGCCCACACCAAGAGGGAGATTAATTACCACTTTTATCCAAGTTGGCACTGCTTACCCCTCTCCCGGCCCCCCCCTCCCCAGCTTGGGACTGCATCCAAGTTCTGTTTTGCCTTTCTTCATCCTGAGAACCCTTTCTAGTCTCTCAAGCCTCCATTTCCTTATTCTCACTTCTCACTTACTCCATGATAAACAGGAGTATGTGACTCTCTTCAGCCTGTGTGACCTTTGTCTCAAAAAATGTCTTCAAAAACTCATTATTTTCTCATACGATGTGCCTTATGTCACTCAGAAATACAGGTTAAGATGACCTGTGACCTAGCTGGTTTCTAGAAGAAGGTAGTGCATTATATATGCATGTTGGATACAACTGAATTGTATGCCTGCACTTGAGAAATACCTCTCACCTGGTAGAGTCAGAAATATATACATTAAAATATACACACCATCTGAATAAACCAAGAGACAATGGAAATGGAGGCAAAGTATGAAGGTACAGAAGCAATGGCAGGCCAACTTCAAAGAAGAGAAGTGGATGCGAGCTCCTTCAATTGTAAATTATGAAGGATGTAGGGAAATGTTACTTTAGCATCCAATCAGTAGAATACCATGATGCCCAAACAGTATTATCAGGGTAGAAATTATAGGTACTTTATCTCATAGACATTAAATGAATGCCTTAAGGGGAAAAAAAGTCTCCCTTTATTGCAAAGTACACCTCAAAATCATTCTATAAAGAATCTACAGAAATCTCTACAACTTCTCTGTAGAA